CACACCGCCGGAGATCCTAGACCCACACACGCCGCGGGGACTTTTCTCGTCGGGGACCTTGCCCCCCCCCCCTACTTCGGAGACGTTAGCCCCTGATTCAGGCCACCGCTGCTGTACAAACGTGGCATCTACGAGGTGCCGCCAACTGCGGCGCGCACGTGCCGTCGGCCTCCCTGGCGACAGACCTACGGAGCCGCAGCACACGACCAAAGCACAACGGGAACAATTGCATTGGGACCGAGAAGAGACGGAGAGAGAGAGAAGACAGCGAGAGAGAGAGAAGATGAGAGAGAGAGAGAGGAGAGAGAGAGGAGAGAAGAGACAGGAAGAGGAGAGCGCACGGGCGAGGGAGAGGAGAGAGGGAGAGGAGAAGAAAAGAGAGAGAGAGAGAGAGGAAGGACGAAGTAGAGAGAGGAGAGGAGAGGAGAGAGAGAGAAAGAGAGAGAAGGAGAAAGAAAGAGAGAGAGAAGAGAGAGAAGGATGGAGAGAGAGAGAGAGAGAGAGAGAGAGAGAGAGGTCGTGTGTGCTATTCGCGGATGAAAGGATTGTAGATTCGGAAGACGTTGCGCTACGATCGATGATGTAGATGATGATCATGAGTGCATGGCCAGCTACCATGACTCTCGACTGCCTGCCTGCCTGTCTGTAATATATTCGGCCGCGTTCAAACAACGCCTTCAGACTAATTAGTGTGCGCGTCGATCACGTGGCCGCACGCTGACGTCACGTAGTTCGACAGACGCCTCGGAAGTAGCAACAGCAGCAGCAGCAGCAGCAGCAGCAGCAGCAGCAGCAGCAGCAGCAGATATTATGATGCGCGTAACTACACCTATTAGGGTAACTAGATGGAATGATAGCCAACATCTAACGAAAGCACTTTGCAAATTAAGGGGAGACAGAATTCACAAACGATTCATATGGAAGTCGGCACGTTAGAGAGAGAGAGAGAGAGAGAGAGAGAGAGAGAGAGAGAGAGGAGTGTGAGAGAGAAGGTGGAGGGAGTGAAAAAGAGAGGTAGAGAGAGGGGGAAGAGAGAGAGAGAACAAGAGACAGAGACAGAGACAGAGAGACAGAGAGAGAGAGAGCGAGAGAGAGCGCGCGCCCGAGAGAGTGAGAGAGAGCGCGCGCCCGAGAGAGAGAGAGAGAGAGAGAGAGAGAGAGAGAGAGAGAGAGAGAGAGAGAGAGACAGAGACAGAGACAGCGAAGGGGGAGCGAGATAACGCGCTTGTTTGCCTGTAGTGTAAATGCATGTACATGAAAATGATCTGCTTCCCCCGATACCTAATTACGCAATAGCTGACTCCGACTAGCCATGCTACCATGACCGCCAGGATGCAGTGAGCCGCACTCCGAATCTCATTACATCCTGCCGCCGCGCCGGCCGTTGCGACGCTGACGCTAGCAGCAACGAGCCATTAGTCGTCGCTTGCGACACCATTCGCAACGTTGTGCAAACACCAGCACCCCCCCCCTCCCTACCACGACCACGACCACCAACAACCCCCACCCCAGCCCTCTCCACACCGACTCCCCCTATGAGCGAAATGAGCGAGTGAGCAAACGTGACAGAGAAGACATGACAAGTGGTGAATAATTTTCTCAGCAAAATGCTAAAAGCAACCGTTCCTTATTTATTCTCCCCAAAAAAATGATATATGACAGAATGATCGCGCAGGGGGGCCGATGTCACACCGGCGGCATAGCGCCAACAGAAAACATGAAGCAGCAAAAAGAACTAAAAAATCTCCGAGCGTCTGCGGCGTGTATAAACACCACGACTACACCTTCGCGTATCAACGCCAACCATAATAACAGAAACAACTGAGATGCGAGCTCCACTTCAATTGTTTTTGGTCCGCCACATACTTTCTATAGAGCATATATATATATTCGTACAGGATATTACGCAAAACTTATGACCCGTGTCACGGGGCGCTCGTTTGGAGAACAGTGGATAAACTATCACCGGCTGAAGCTGAAATGATAGTCAATTACACAGAAAACGCCAGAATGGGGTTTTCATGGGGGACTGGGTTGACAGTTTTTTACGGAGTTGGGCTCTCAGTCATTTCTGCAGCAACGTCCATAAATATAATCAATAGCTAATAAATACCTAGAGTGTACAACGGGAAAACGGGAAAATAGTGCTATTTCACGCCAATATTATTCTACTTTGTGTGCGGTTCTAGACTGAGTTCCAATATCTTGGCCTAGGAGTACCGTAGAGACAAGCGGTTGGTCTTATTTTAGAGAGCAAAGAATGCAATCCCATAAAATTATTCTAGACTCGCAGGCAAAGTAGAATAATATTGCCGTGAAATCGCACTATTTTCCCGTTGTACATGCACTCTGGGTATTTATTAGCTCTTGATATAATGTAGGCACACACATACACTTTAGTTAAATATGAGAATGAGTGAAAAGGGTTAGGGTGCACAAGTTCGCATGAGTGTAAGCATGATAATGATTACCATGACGACAAGATCCTCTGGTGAGAATTTACAGGAGGAAGAGGAAAATTCACGTGAACAAAAATATCAAAGTATAATCTGGATCACAGTAAAACACCAATGCTTTAAAATGTCAGGTACTAATAACACCCTAGTAATCACTACGCTACATGCTACAGATATGCTATCAACTCGAAAGACTCTTGAATAAAACTCAACGGAAATTACTATCTACCACATACTGCCTAGCCGAGCTTCCTATGTGGGCCACAAGAAGTCTGCTTGTCCACTCCAGGAACCTGCCGTGTGCCGTGGGACAGTCCAAGATTGAATCCGCACGTCCCATGCTAACTTTCCACACCGATATTTTTCCGAAATTATAGATGCAGCAACTTTTTTCTCTCGTATAAACCTAAAAGCACTATGGACGAAATTCGCCCCCTTGCCATTGCTACCCGGACGGCGGTCACGGACAACAATAGTAACGAAAACATTCTCATATTATTACAAGTCATATACAATGACAAAGTCATCTGTCGTCGTACGTGTATACATATGTGTGTGTGTGCGTGTATACGTATGTGCGTGTGTGTGTGCGCGCGCGTGTGTATTTGTGTGTATTGGTGTGTGTGTGCGCGTGTATACGTGTGTATGTTTGTGTGTATTGGTGTGTGTGTGTGTGTGTTTGTGTATATATTGATGTGTATACGTGCGCGTGTGCACTGTTCACGGGTCTGCACCCAGACCGCGCGTCTCGTGCCTGTACAGGTGGCGTCGCCTAGCGGCTGCTCGTCCCCATGCTGTTCTGTCGCATGCGCTTGCTCTCCTCCTGCGTGATCTTCTGCTGCATCAGATACTGCGCCATCTGTATCTGCGTCGCCGTGCCGACGATCGACACGAGCCGGTTGTGCGTGCCCGGCGCGAAGATGCCCTTCTTGCTGATCTGTATGTTGGCGCCGCTGTAGTTCTGGATCTCGATCAGCGTGCGGCCGCCCGGTCCCAGGATCGCGCCGACGATGTTGTCGTTGATCTCCACCTCGACCTTCGACGGGTCCTTCTCGGGACTCTTGCTCCCGCCGCCGCCGCCGCTGGACACGCCGTTGAACGACGTCGGGCTGCCCATCATGTTGGAGCCGAGCGACTGGCTCTTGTAGTCGCCGAACGACGCCGCCGCGTCGCTGATTCGGCATCCGTACGCCTCACCGCCGCCGCCGCGACCCGGGCTCAAGGGGGCGCTGCTGCTGCCGACGGGCCCGTATCCGTTTCCGCCGCCGCCGCCGCCGCCGCCGCCGAACGAGGTGCTCAGCAGGGAGTTGGCGTTGTTATTGCCGAAGAGGTTCGCGTTGCTGAGGGAGGCGGAGGAGGTGGAGGTGGCGCCACCGGCGGCCGCGAGCGCCTGCAGGCCGTTGAGGCCGATCGCGAGCAGGCCGTAGTTGGCGAGCGTGTTCATCGCGACCGTGATCTCGGCCGTCGCCTGCTCCGTGAAGCCGCTGCCGCGCAGCGTCGCCTGGATCTGCTCGAACATCTGGTTGCCTCCTCCGCCGCCGCCGCCGCCGCCTCCGCCTCCGAGCGCGGCCGACGCCGCCGCGAGGCTCGCCAGCGTGCCGCCGATGCCGGCGCCCCCGTTCATGCTGCTCGCACTCACACCATTGCCGCCTCCGCCTCCGCCGCCGCCGCCGCCTCCGCCCAGCATGTTGGAATGCGTCTGCCCGCCGGCCTGCTGGATCGCGTACGGCGAGCCCGTCGGGTTGACGTTGGCGACGGGGCCGGAGAAGTCGGCGTACGTGACGTTGGGACAGCTGCCGCTCTGCGGATCGTCGGCGATCTTACCGACGATCATCTGCAACGACGAAGCCGACGACAAACTATTACTCGCACGCGCGCAGTACGATCGATCGCCGCGTCAGGGACAGGAACAGGAACTTACTGTCGGCTACGGGAGATGAATCACAGAGGCATGGACGGGAACTTACTGTCGGCTACGGGAGATGACTCACAGAGGCAGGGAGGGGGACTTACTGTCGGCTACGGAAGATGAATCACAGAGGCATCTCTTCGTTCCTGTTTTTCTCGACCTACTTATTCTCTTCAACCCTTCTCTCCTTTCTAGTTCTCTCTCCCTCCGTCTCCACCCTCTCCTGCTCTATTCCCCTAGTATCTTTGAATTTTTGCGGATCAGCTTTTGCCTCCTTAGTTTACTAACAATCTTCCTTCCTGCACTACACCAAACCACGACTCATGCGCTAAAACATAGAGAGAAATTTGAACTAGAACATACGCTATGACCGATAATAAATTACGGGTTTGAATAAACCTAGTGACGTTACAACGCACACATTCAGAATCCGACACTTGAAACGACGTTTTCGTATCATGCGTGTAAGTGCGTCTAATGATGGGGCCTCATAAATCACCTCACAAGCCATGCACACGCCATTCACACATGAGTTATTCATTCAACCACGCTTCAAATACATACACCGTCAGCACCAAACCGTGGAAGAATGCGTTGGTTAAACCGATGCTCACCACTTCTGTTTAGTGGGTGTATTCAGCAATCTAGACAGCCATATATATCGAAACTTTGTTATCCGACTATCATGTGGCATGTCTACCCACACGCGGGAACATGCAATGTAGAACAACTTGGAAAGAGAGTATAGAAGCGCCAAAAATAGAGATTAAATGAATGTGTGTCTACGTGTGTATACGCCATCATTGCTAACGAATAACTGTTGGGTAAATCATAGATGCGAGATCATCTCTACGAAGACTAACCTTTCACCATTCTTCATCCATCGATGTGCTGACAATTTCATTCTCATCTTTTGGAAGATGGATGTTAAAGCGGTATGGGGTCCATCCTCGTCACCATTTCTTAACGCCATCCCTCAAGGAAAAAAACACCGATATACTTCAACGAAATTGAGATATGGCTTGTGATTGTAAAGCAAAACCAACACGTTCGTCATAATAATAAACTAAAATTTAATTAGTTGAGTATTTATATGACTTAAAATATAGCCACCTATGGACTATATAGGCACCTATCTAAGTTTCGATTACACGTAACCACCGTTAACGAGTCACTTAAAGCCGCACTATGGTAACCCGCGTCCCTGCCTCTATGCAGTTCATCTCTCGTAGCCGAATAAGTCCCCGTCATTCGCTCTGTGAGTCTCTCTCGTAGCCGACATTAAGTCCGCCGTCCATGCCTCTGTTGAGTATGCTCTCGTAGCCGACAGTAAGTCCCCGTCCCTGCCTCTATGAGTCCATCTCTCAGCTACCACATAAGTCCCCGTCCATGCCTCTGATGAGCATCTCTCGGGTAGCCGACATTAAGTTCCCCGTCCCATGCCTTCTGTGAGTCATCTCTCGTAAGCGCGACGAAGTCCCCGTCCCTGCCCTATTGAGTCATCCTCCCAGTAGCCGACAGTAGACAGTCCCCGTCCCTGCTCTTGTGAGTCATCTCCCGTAGCCGACATTAAGTCCCCGTCCGCTGCCTCTATGAGTCATCTACTGCTCGTAGCCGACAGTACAATCCGCCGTCCCTCTCATGTGAGTCATCTCCCGAGCCTACAAGTAAGTTCCGATCCATGCCTCTGTGATCATCTCTCGTAGCCTACATAAAGTCCACGTCCGCTGCCTGTGAGTCATGCTCACGTAGCCACATTTAAGTCCACCGTCCCTCAACATCTGTGATTCATCTTCCCGAGGCCTGACAGTAAGTCCGTCCCTGCCTCTGTGCAGTCACTCTCCGCCGTAGCCGACAATAAAGTCGCCCGTCCCTGCCTCTGTGAGTCCATCTCCCGAAGCCGACAGTAAAGTCTCCGTCACATGCCTCTGTGATCATCTCCCGTAGCCGACAGTAAGTCCCGGCTCCATGCATCTGTGAGTTCATCTCCCGTAGGCCGACAGTAAGTCCTCGTTCCATGCCTCTCAATGGTCATCTCTTCGTAGCGAACAGTATAGTCCGCCGTCCCTGCCTCTGATGTGAGTCATCTCCCGTAGCCCGACAGTAAGTCCGCGTCCCTCGCCTCTGTGAGTATCTCCCGTAGCGCACACGTAAGTCGCCCGTTCATGCCTCTATGAGTCATCTCCGTAAGACGCAGTTTTAATCACCCGTCCTGCCTCTGCGTAGAGTCATCTCCCGTAAGACGACAGTAAGTCCCCGTCACCTGCCTCTGTGAGTCATCTCCCGTAGCCGACAATAAATTCCCGTCCCGCCTCTGTGATCAATCTCCCGTAAGCCGAACAGTAAAGTCCCCGCGCCTGCCTCTGTGAGTCATCTCCCGTAGCCGAGAGTAAAGTCCCCGTCCCTGCCTCTATGAGTCATCTCCCGTATCCAAGGTGAAGTCCCCGCGCCTGCCTCTATGAGTCATCTCCCGAGTACCGACAGTAAGTCCCCCGTCCTGCTCTATGAGTTCATCTCCGCGTAGCCGAGAGGTACAGTCCCCGTCCTGCCTCTCTATGAGTCATCTCCCGTAGGTGACAGTAAGTCCCCTCCGGCTGCCTCTGTGAGTCATCTCCGTAGGCCGACAAGTAAGTCCCCGCTCCATGCCTCTGGGATTCATCTTCCTAGCCGACAGTAAGTCCCCTCCCTGCCTCTGTGAGTCAGATCCCCAGTAAGCGACAGTAAGTTCCCGTCCATGGCCATCTGTGATTCATCTCCCGTAGCCACAGTAGAGTTCGTTCCTGTCCCTGACGCGGCGATCGATCGTACTGCGCGCTGTGCGAGTAAATGTTTTGTCGTCGCTTCGCTGTTGCACGATTATCGTCGGTAAGTATCGCGCGACCGATCCCGCAGGCGAGCTGTCCAACGTCACGTACGCCGACTTCTCCGGCCCCTTCGCCAGACGTCCAACCCGACGGGCTCGCCGTACGCGATCCAGCAGGCCAGCCGGGCAGACGACAGTGGCCAACATGCTGGCGGAGGCCTTGCGGCGGCGGAGGCGGAGCGGCAAATGAGTGATGACGAGCCAGCATGAACGGGGGGGCGCCGGCATCGCGGCGGAGGCGGCCGAGCCTCCCGGCCCGGCGTCGCGCGCTCGGAGGCCGGAGCAGCCGCGGCAGCGGCGCGGAGGCAGGCAACGGCAGATGTTCGAGGGCAAGATCAGGCGACGCTGCGCGGCAGCGCTTCACGGAGCAGGCGACGGCCGAGATCACGGTCGCGATGAAACACGCTCGCCAACTACGGCCTGCTCGCGGATCAGCCCTCAACGGCCTGCAGGCGCTCGCGCCGCCGCCGGTGCGCCACTCCACCTCCTCGCCTCCCTCAGCAACGCGAACCTCTTCGGCAATACAACGCCAACTCCCTGCGTGAGCACCTCGTTCGGTCGCGGCGGCGGCGGCGGCGGCGGCCGGAAAAGGATACGGGCCAGTCGGAGCAGCACGCCCCCTTGAGCCCGGGTCGCGGCGCGGCCGGTGAGGGCAGTACGGATGCCGAATCAGCGACGCGGCGGCGTCGTTCGGCACGACTACAAGAGCCAGTCGCTCGGCTTCCAACATGATGGGCAGCCCGACGTCGTTCAACGGCGTGTCCAGCGGCGGCGGCGGCGAGCAAGAGTCCGCGAGAAGGACCCGTCTGAAGGTCGAGGTGGAGATCAACGACAACATCGTCGGCGCGATCCGGAGTCCGGGCCGGCGGCCGCACACGCTGGATCGAGAGTCCAGTATATCCAGAACTACAGCGGCGCCAAGCATACAGATCAGCAAGAAGGCATCTTCGCGCCGGGCACGCACAACCGGCTCGTGTCGATTCGTCGGCACGGCGACGCAGATACAGATGGCGCAGTATCTGATGCAGCAGAAGATCACGCAGAGGAGAGCAGCGCATGCGGCAGAACAGCATGGGACGAGCAGCCGCTAGCGACGCCGCCACCTGTAACAGGCCACGAGACGCGCGGTCTCGGGTGCAAGACCCGTGAACAGTGCACTACGCGCACGTATAAGCACATCAATATATACACAAAACACACACACACACCCACCAATACACAAAACATACACACGTATACACGCGCACACACACACCAATACACACAAATACACACGTGACGCGCGCGCCACGACACACACGCACATACGTATACACGCACACACACACATATGTATACACGTACGACGACAGATGACTTTGTCATTGTATATGACTTGTAATAATATGAGAAGTGTTTTCGCGTTACTATTGTTGTCCGTGACCGCCCGTCCGGGTAGGCAATGCAAGGGGCGAAATTTCGTCCATAGTGCTTTTAGGTTTATACGAGAGAAAAAAGTGTGCATCTATAATTTCGGAAAATATCGGTGTGGAAAGTTAGCATGGACGTGCGGATTCATCTTGGACTGTCCACGGCACACGGCAGGTTCCTGGAGTGGACAAGCAGACTTCTTGTGGCCCACATAGAAGCTCGGCTAGGCAGTATGTGGTAGATAGTAATTTCCGTGAGTTTATTCAAGAGTCTTTCGAGTTGATAGCATATCTGTAGCATGTAGCGTATGTGATTACTAAGGTGGTTCTTAGTACCTGACATTTTAAAGCATTGGTGTTTTACTGTGATCCAGATTATACTTTGATATTTTTGTTCACGTGAATTTTCCTCTTCACCTCCTGTAAATTCTCACCAGAGGATTCTTGTCGTCATGGTAATCATTATAATGTCTTACACCATGCGAACTTTTGCACCCTAACCCTTTTCACTCATTCTCATATTTAACTAAAGTGTATGTGTGTGCCTACATATACATCAGAAGCTAATAAATACCCAGAGTGCATGTAACAACGGGAAAATAGTGCGATTCACGGCAAGTATTATTCTACTTTGGCCTGCGAGCTAGAATAATTTTATGGGATTGCATTCTTTGCTCTCAAAAATAAGACCACCGCTTGTCTCTACGGTACTCCTAGGCCAAGATATGAGACTCAGTCTAGAACCGCACACAAAGTAGAATAATATTGCGTGAATAGCACTATTTTCCCGTTTCCCGTTGTACACTCTAGTATTTATAGCTATTGATTATATTTATGGACGTTGCTGCAGAAATGACTGAGAGCCCAACTCCCGTAAAAAAACGTCAACCCGAGTCCCATGAAACCCCATTCTGGCGTTTTTGTGTAATTGACTATATCATTCAAGCTTCAGCCGGTGATAGTTTATCCACTGTTCTCCAAAACGAGCGCCCCGTGACACGGGTCATAAGTTTTGCGTAATATCCTGTACGAATAATATATATCTTATAGAAAGTATGTGGCGGACCAAAAAACAATTGAAGTGGAGCTCGCATCTCAGTTGTTTCTGTTATTATGGGTATGGCGTTGATACGCGAAGGTGTAGGTCGTGTGTTATATCACGCCGCAGACGCTCGGAGATTTTTTTAGTCTTTTTGCTGCTTCATGTTTCTTGTTGCGCTATGCGCCGGGGTGACACTCGGCCCCCCTGCGCGATCAATTCTGCATATATTCATTTTTTTGGGGAGAATAAATAAGGAACGTTTGCTTTAACATTTTGCTGAGGAAAATTATTCACCACTTGTCATGTCTTCTCTGGTCACGT